TTCAATGCGCGCAAGTACCCTTTATAGATTCAACACGTTCCAGACGCAACTGCGCAAGCAGGATGCAACCAAATCAAAAGTAGGGCAGGTAAATGACCGCTGTCTAGACAACTGACCTCGTGCGCTTCGGAGCAACGAGTTGCTATGCAACACCGTTCCATGATCTGCGTCTTTAATGCGCACGGTATTATTGCTCTCGTACAGGACACTAAGTCTTGGATCAGTATTTATATTAATGTATGATGTATAGGCATGAATGAATGAATGCTCTATGAAATAGTTCCAATAAAAAAAAGAATAGGGAAACTTGATGACATATGCATGGGCTATTGCCTCTGCATATTGCGCTGTAATATTATTAAAATAATCGTCATTCAGTGCGTGATAGTTAGAAGAGCTTTTGCATCACTGAGCGAGCATTCTTGCTCACAGGGATGCGCTATAATTCTTGCTAATCCCGGTGAGCAAGAATTCTTGCTCACCGGGTTAAAACAAGTAGTAGTGTCCACAGTGCGGATGAAGAAACAAAAAAAAGAAAAACGATTGCAGAAGTGGGATCCAAACCCACGCCTGCAGAAACCAGACTGTGTTGAAACAAGTAGTAGAGCGTCCGCAGTGCGGACGAAAAAAAAACAAACAAAAAAACGATTGCGGAAGTGGGATTTGAACCCACGCCTTCAGAAACCAGACGGTGACCTGAACGCAGCGCCTTAGACCACTTGGCCATTCTGGCAGCTCAATGTTACTTTATGCATTTTTAAATAGGTGAATTAATTCAAGGTGCAGAAGGCCAAAGACATACGTTACACGACGTCTGTATTCTCACCCCCCCCCCCAGACCCCTGTAGGATCCTACTGGTTGTTTCTTTGCATTAGGGACGTTAATTGTCATACAGTGTGTTAAAGTTTGAAGCTCATTGGCAACGGTGAGCGATAATTCTCGCTTACCGTTGCAAAATCCCTTTTGTTAGACCAAATAGAATCAGAGGGCAGGAGTGGTAAAACATGGCCGCGCCCGGAGGTTCAACAGTTCTCAATGAGGGAGAATCCTGGCTTTTTATGGGGAAGCCATAAAAATCATAGAACAAAAGTGATATACTGTACAATGGATGAGTGCTGTATTATTACTCAATATTAGTTTTTTAATAAAGTTAACAACTGTGATGTGAAGGTGTGTGGTGCTTGTTTGCATTCCATGTATTCCATGTCCTCATTTTAAAGCCTATTGAGGCTGGTAGCGAGAATTCTCGCTAGTTGTTGCTCTGTAATGACGAAAGTATCATGTTTAGTATGCTGACCAATTTATACTTGAATATTCCAGGTTATTTGTCATATACAAAATGTCTTCCTATGAAGACTTTTTTGGTGTGCGCAAGTGCCGAACCTACAAAATTGGTGTTGAGGAATATGCAAGGCTTGGAGAGTTCATCACCCACATTTTTTTTGAGAAGTGCGCGTGGGTTGATGGAATCTTCAAGTTGAAGTGTTCCGCAGAATTGATCGAAAGTTTGGACCCAATAGGCAAAGGCCTCATCACTTGGGCTGCAGATGGAGAAGACAACACCTTGTTGTCAAGACTTTGGAATAAACCCATAGGAAGGGTTTTTGACCAGGAAATGGAGAAGGTGCATGGGCGTGGCATATATGCCAGTGTCATCAAGCCATGCACCCAACCCATCAAGACTGCCCAGGCATTTTTTGACCTGGCAAGGATAGAAGGAGTCATGCATCCACATTCTGTTATTGGTGGTGGAGCATGTCTTCTTAAACATCCACCAAAAATGGATCCGAAGGTGGAATGCACAAAGGCAGGTGCATCATCAAGTGAGGAATAAGATAGAAAGGCGTACTGGTCAAGCCTACGTGCTCTGGAAGTTGGCCAGAGAAGTCCAACAGTGAAATATGTCACAGAAATGACAGTTTCAGAACTTGATCCTGTCAGGCTGGAAAGAATAATACAGGAGAAGGGCAGGCCAAAAGATGTAAGTGCATATTTTTACATTCCTGAGTATGTTCGTATTATATTTGTGATATTAACGTTAGTGTATCATTTGTATTTGCAGGGGACGTTTTGTGCAGCTCTGACTGATTTACCAGGATCAATTCCTGGAAACCTCAGTACAAGTTTTGATCCCATGTTGTCCATTGAGGGAGTCAACTCTCCTTTCTTCTTCATTGGCACCCGTAACTCTTTGTTCCCCATGCACTGTCAGGATATGGACCTCTTCTCAGTGAACCTGCACTGGGGTGGATATCCAAAGATTTGGTAAGGATACATATACTTAAATGCATACTTTACTTCAATGATAGATAATAATTTGTCTGAAATTTAATATACTTACAGGTACAGCATGGGTGCACGTGAGGTTCCTGAATACAAAAACATTGTGGAGTGTGCGATTGGGAAAGACTTTCCTGAATGCAGAAACTTCCCAAGGCATAATATTTATGCCTTTGATGAAGTCTGGTTGGACCATTACTGCCTCAATGCGTGTGTGGCAGTTCAACATCCGTACAAGTTCATCATCACAACACCAAGAGGACCACATGCTGGATTCAACACTGGCCTCAATCTGAATGTGGCCATTAACTTTTCTATTGCACTGTGGGTGGACTATGGTCTGCGGGTGAAGTTCTGCAGTTGTGAGGGGTATGTATACTAATGTTTTTGTGATATAAATTAATTCTCCAATTACGCAATTTTCTCAATTATATATTGCAGAGCACAAGAAAACAACGTGAGGTTTCCATTGGAACCCGTTGTGAGGCACTACTGCACTCCAGCCACCTACAAAGAATGGTTGCATCAAGGACTTCAGAAGTTTCCAGCAAACCAACTGGACCTGTCAGCAACCAAAATTCCACAACAAGTCCCACCTCCAACTCTTTCTCAGTTGAAGTTGACAAGGATGTAAGTTGATAGTGTATAGGTGATATTAATATTTTAACATGTTATAATTCGATTTTATATATCATTTTGAACAGACCACAAACGGATGCAGAATGGGATTATGAAACAAGAGGAGATAAAGTGCAGAAGAAGCTCCTCAAACTCCTTCAGAATAGGATTGATTTCTTGGAGGGAAAAGTTGAGGATTACCTCAGACTTGGGTTAGTGTTCTTGACTGCTGGTTATAAAAACTGCATTTATTAATGTGTTATTCCTATTCTTCCAATTTTGTGAATAGTGCAAGATTTGTCAAGAAGCATCACATCTCTCTTGTGATTGACGAGGTTCACAAGAGGCAACGTTCAAGTGGCACCTCATCTGACGTTCAACCCGAAGTTCTTGAAGAAGAAGAAGAAAGTGATAATGTGAAGGAATTGGAAGCTTCAAAATTTTTGTTACTTCAAGATGATTTGGAAAGGAAAACAAAGAGTAAAGAATTGAAAAGTAGTGTAAAGAGGAAAGAGTTAGAAGAGGGTGATGATGTTGTATTTCTCAAGAATACCACAAAGAGACAAAAATGAATGAATACATACTCATATTTGATTTGATAGAATATTTGTATGCATGAAAATGTTGTTCATTACAATGAATTAACTATATATACCATTGAAAGTGTCTGTGTACTGATGCATTACTTATGTTTCTCTGTGTTCACAGGTTTTGCGTATTGTTTCCGCAATACGCGAAAATATGCAAGTGTGGAGTGTGAAAGATGTTCAGTGTATTGAACCGACTGAGTTTAATGCAGTGGCTCTCTTCAGAGCATTTAAGTTAGAAATTCATAATGTGCGGCGGGTTATGCGTAGGAAAGGGGAAATGAACGTGCCCGTGTCTGAAGCCTTTGATGTGATTCTGGATGCAGCAAAGGATCTCCTCAATGACTGCTTCAAACAAGCAATCGAAATGCCATCACGTTTTCAAAAGCTGCAGGAATTCGTCATGAGCAACATGGAAAAATACTGTAAGTACAAATTGCCTTTTGAACAACATGATAATAGTATGATAATAGTAGTCGAACTCTCGCTCATCGTAGCAGTAGCATAACAGCAACTCTTAGCAAGAATTTTAGCTAGAAATCTCGATCATCCCGGTCCGCGATAATGTTCGCTCATCGCGGTCAGCGATAATGTTCGCTCATCGCGGTCAGCGATAATGTTCGCTCATCGCGGTCAGCGATATTTTTCGCTCAATTCTCATACCTTTAAACATCTACATATTCAATTATTTATCCACTATTAAATTATACTCATTTCCGATCCACAGCAATCAAGGAACTAACGGAAATTCCGGCATTCAAGAAGGAAGAAGTTCAAAGTGTGGTAGGACGGCAGGAAATCGGACCCTCACCTGTTCCCTCATCTTGGAGCCCCCGCTCGTCAAACCCGAACACACCAGAAACACCAGCAACACCAATGGAAATAATAGGTTAGTACTACATTGTGGCATTCCCCGGTTTTGAATTAATGTTTAACATTATTGGGATAGGTTGGGAGATATGTTACTTTCTTAAAATGTGATTGACATAATTACATTATGCGTATGTCTTTTAGGACATTCAAACGTTGGAGATGAAGAAAGCGAGGATGAAGTAGATCTTGTTGAGCTGCAACGTGTTGAGCCTCAGAAAATGGATGTGGAAGTCTCAGGAGTAACATCGGAGCAAGAACAACAAGAACATGATGCACTAATTCAAGGCAAGTACTATTGTAATCTAGGCTCCATTTTTTATGTGTTGGGGAAGTGTGTTTGTAATAAAAGTTAACACGCGGGAATTCCCCCTTTGCCCGCATTTGAATAGCATGGAAGAGCGAAAAATCTCGGTGAACGCGCCGAGCGATAATTCTCGCGTAGCGTTGCAACAGGAGGAGCGAAAATTATCTCTCTGTTTTACAGCAGCAATTAGATTACAAATTATTCATTAATCTATTTTAATGTATTTGTAATGATTAATGTATTTGCGTTTGTGTTGCCATTCAAAATAACTGAAGTTTATTGCGAATTTAACTTTATTTATGTTGCAGATTCGGACAGTGAAGGTGCATCAGAAGAACATTCTGAGGCAACTGAAGAAAGCCTTGCTTCAACTTCCAGCACAACCAGCCAAGGTAAATGAAGCCAATCATTATAAATTTTTTTTAATAGCTCTAAATTCTTTCTTGTCGTAAGCTTGTAATGCATTAACATTTGCACATTAGATGCAAACTTGTACACGCTGTTCTTAATTTCGTGTTATGTTTCAACAGATTCAATTGCTGGGACTTCTTCTGGTGATAACACCAAAGAAGGCGCTGATTTCGGATACGAACTGCTAAAACCAATGGCTAAGCTTGCCTTGGTTGACGAAACTCGGTTCTTGTCCCAGAAGATCGTCCCCTTCCTTGTGTCTTTGGAAAGTCAGAACGTGAACTTGTCTTCTGATCAACGAACGGCATTGGAGGACATCAAGAACACACTGAATGCACACACCCTGGCACCACCCTATGATGCCAGTGTGTTCAAGATGATGCCAGACATGGAAAAGAAGCTTGGCATTTCTACGGATGAGCTGAAAGATGGCATGGATAAAGCATGTGCCATGTACCAACAAGTCTTTGAGGCCCACTTTGGGGAGACTGTGGACCTGTACACGGATCTAATGAAAGCTGATGTTTATTACAAACAAGAAGAGTGGGACTCAATGCCAGTGGAATTGGGACCACTCCCGCATCGTGTAACACCCTGTGCCAGCCGACAGGCACATGAAGACTTCGTCAACAGGAAGATTTCGTCAGTGTTTTGCCGCATGAAGGACTTGGACAAGCTGGAGGAGATAAGTCGGGCTGAAACTATCATGAACACCGAAGTTCATGTAGTTTATGTGCACAATGGTTTGTCTATTCGGCTGGACGACCATTACCTGTTCCTGGAAACTACCCGGAAACTTCTGTCCTCACCTTCACCATGGGGAAAATCTGAACAGGAAGGAAATGAGGTTAAGCAAGACTTCCACGACATTTGCAGAAGAATGTTCTGGCCGGCATTCTCCTTCAAAACCATCGTGAGTCCGGTCAGAAGAAACCTTGTTGGTGGGAGTCATGCAAGATCGGAATTCCATACGAAAAGGGTGGAAGCAATGATGAGTAAGTAATGGAAGAGAAAGAGCAGTAATATTCACATGTCTATAATTACATTTGCATAATTTCAGAGTACATTGAAGCTGTGTGGGAATTCGCAAGGAGGAGACTCATGAATGAGCAGTCTTCAAGAAGTTCCAAGAAACCACCACAAAGATTTGAAGATGGACGAGGACCAATGCTCGCGTACTTCAAAGATCGTCTTAGCCACCTTCGCGATACTGAAAAAAACAGTATTGTATCAAAAATTGGTGCCACCATAAAGTGGTATAAAAACGTTTGGGCAAAGGATAATAGTAAAATCTTGTTTGCAAATATTAAGAGCGTTGGAAATGCGCGAAAGAGAGCAAGGACTAAATCCTTAAAAGTGGGAGATGATGATTTTGATGAAGACGATCATGATGATGATGATTGAATTGTTATGATCAATTTTTGGTTTTGACTTTGTTACTTTTTGTTACTTGAAGTGATGTTTTCCTGCGGGTGTGCAGTGCTGTGTTTTTTTTTAGTGCTGCTTTGTACTGATTTGTACTTTTTTGAATGAAGTCAAATATTTTACCATTCTCATTATGTGTACATTTCAATACATCAGACAATTGACAATGTATAAGTACATTTATCTGATTTACAATTTCCTCTTGTTTTTATTTTTAAGATGGAAGGCCAAGGCAATGAAGTCATTCTAAGTGAAAAAGAAATTGGTGCAATAGTTTGTACAGTAAATTCACGAAGCAGATTCACAGTGACTTCGCGAATAACACGCAGGAAACGCAAGGCACTGGCATGTGAACAAGTTAGGAAGTGGAAAGAGGAAGTGGATGCTTTCACTCCTTATGTTTGTGCTCATTTGAAAGATAATCTACTCCTCAGTGGCATTTGGGATCTCAGTGCTTTTTTTAAACGAGTAGGGCTTCGTGATATAACGAAAGGGGATATAAGTGGACCTGCAAGTGGACTTGAAGAACAATGTCACAGTGGACTTTCAGAAAGCATGGAAATTCCGACAGCTGAATACGATGACGTGTGCGGAACTCCTATTGACAGACATGGTAATTGACTCATTGTATTTTACAGAGGATTAATTGTCATATATATAAGTACATTTTTTAATATTCATTCACATGCACACATTTACTTATGAATCGTATGTATGTGTAAACTGAGCATTTGAAGGTTATAATGAGTGTATAAATTACCTGTATAAGTTTGAAATTACATTTACTTGAACCTGACCCAAGAAGACCGTTCGCTGAGCGAAAATGTTCGCTCACCGGGATGCGCGAACATTATCGCACATCGTTGCAAAAGTTCAAACAGCACCAGCACCGATGAGCGATCATTTTCGCTCATCCCGGTGAGCGAAAGTTATCGCTCATCGTTGCAACAGTGCCAGCACCGATTAGCGATCATTTTCGCTCATCCCGGTTAGCGAAAATTATCGCTCATCGTTGCAACAGTGCAAACAGCACCAGCACCAATGAGAGCTAATTCTCGCGCATCCCGGTGAGCGAAAATTATCGCTCATTGTTGCAAAAGTCGCTATTCAAATATTCTCATGTATTTCCACTTGCTTTTATTTTCACTTCCGATCATCCTTACTCGATAGGCTCTGACTCAAACTCGTCGTCGGTACTACGGAACACCCATGTACTTCATGCGGCAGCAAAGCAACGGTCTTTTCTCGAAGTACTTCGTCATTGGGCTTCAGCAAATGCTACGTCATTGAATGCTATGACAGACTTGCTACGCTTACTCAAGCAAAACAACGTCACACTATCTCCGCTAGACTACAACCGAAAATGGCCAATGACGGGAAAAACATTGCTGAAATTAGAGGATTTGCGAGTGTCTGGCATAATAATTCGTCATCTACAAGACTTCATTTGTGTGACAAAATCATTTCGTGGTGATCCACTTTTTTTAAATGCAAATGATGCATTGAAAGGCAGTCTTCCAAATTTTCAACAACACGCATGCGAGGATGAAGTTACTAACTTTGGAGGTAGTGACTACGATGCAGATGTTGAATTGGACAATGTTAATGCATCCTTAAGTGAGCCATCAAGTGATGATGACGTCACTGCTTTGGAAGTGGAGAACCCTGGAATAATGGAAGAAGCTATTGAAGAAGCTGGGAAATGTATAACTGTTGAAAAGAAGTACATGACTGAAACATCAACATTTGCTGTTGATGAAGCAGCACGTGCTGGTTCGGATCACAAAGTTGCATATTTTGGAATTCGAAATGCCATTCTTGGCAAATCTTGTGGTTAGTAAACACACTTGTCCTAGCGATTGTACGTTAACCATCTAACATAATATTGCGTTACTTTTCAGGAATCCTAGATTGGAATGGACATGTTAGAAATTTACGGTTGATAGCTGATACACACCCTACGTCATTATCTGATGATTTCATGGAAACACTGCTGCAGCAGAGGAACAGGGAAAGTGTTATCAAGAATACAACATCAGTGCCAATAAGTGAAGAACAGGTGTCTGTGCGTGGCTCATGCCCAACATTCATCATAGACATCTTCATAGATGCATGCCAGATCTTCAACAACTCAAGTGCTGCAAGTGCTACACCCATATTAGGTCGCTTAATATGTGCTGATGGCCATTTCATCCCATCAAGAAAATGTAAGCCATTTGTGATAGCTGTTTTTCATGGAGAGGGAAAACCCAACCGCGACGCATTCATGTTTGACCTCATCAATGAATTGAATGAGCTTCACCCAACGGTGCACAAGATTGGTAAAGACATGCACGTGGTTGTTCGTGCATTAATTTGCGATGCTGTTGGTCGTTTCTGGTTGAAAGGAACAACGTCTAATGCTGGCTACTTCTGCTGCGAGCGATGTATTCTGAAGTAAGCATAAAGTTTAACTAAATAAATGTTATTTTTATTAATCCTGTATTAATGAATAATTTCAGAGGGGAGTACAAAGTGGATCCTAGGAACAATGCAATCATCCCTGGTTCCCTTCGCTTCATTTGCAAGGGGGATGAATGTGAAAGAAGACCTGAGAAATGGCAGGATTACCGCCAGATTCCAGAATGTATTGACAGGAATCCGAAAACTGGGAAAGTTGAGGAAAGATTTCATCGCAGAACAGACACCCCATTGGACAAAATAATAGATTTCAGTCCAATAAGCAACATGCCCTTGGAGGAAATGCATCTGTGTGATGGTGGGGCTATCCCCACAACACTGCGCCTCCTCTTCAACATCAAGCAAAAGAAGGAGAAGAAGGTGAAGAAATTTTTCAAGAAGACTTGTATTGCAAAAAGAAAACCTGCTGCTCCGAAACCACCAGCAAGGACTTCATCTGCCAGTGATGCAAAAAAGAAACGGAAGTTAGCTGATGCAACATCAAGTGATGAATCCCAGTCAGATGGTGAAGCAACAAGGGATACCCAAGATCCGGATTACCTGCAAAAAGCATGTACATCAAGGGATAGGGATCCTTCACTACATGATAAGAGGAATTGGAATGTGTACATTTCCAGATGGAGAATATTCACGCCTAAAGTGTTCTCTCGTCAGTGCAGAACATTCAACACAATGCACTTTTGGAAAATGGCAGAGACACGGCAGTTTTTCTTTTATTATGCGATTCCATTAATATTAATGTCCACAACCTTCACGAAAAGTCGATTTCATGACTTACTATTTTACATTAAAGGCTATTTATTAGTCACTGGCAATACACACAATGCATTGAGTGGAAGCAAACTTGCATTGGCGCATAGGCTACTCAATACTTTTGTGCAACGAATGCAAAGTAGATCCAGGAATTGGTGTGTGTACAAATGCCACTCATTGTCTCACTTGGCGCAAGATGCAGAAATATTCCAATGTCATCTTGGGAGCCTGTCAGCTTATCCATACGAGAATATAATGCGGATATTTAAGAAGGTTAGTGTTTATACAACGATAAAATGATGATGTAATAGTTGTCTAATACATTTCTTTTTTTACTTACTGCATTATTCAGTTTGGATCACGAAGCGGCAAGCATGTTGTTCAGCAAATAGTCCGTCGCTTACTAGCCCTCAAAATGTACCGACTGCCAGTGAAGTCTAATGGTTGGGAACTGGATGAAGATGATGTATCTTACCAAGATGAGCTACAGAGAGTACTGGCAAACGGTGGTAACCAAGACTTACCTCCGTTCACTGTTTTACGCTACGATTCTGCAAAACAAGTTGTTTATTGTGAATCATTCACAGTTTCCCTGAAGTGAGTTAATTCACTGTTATATGCTTAAAACACTAATAATTGTTAGCACTTTTCTTTACAGATATCCAGAAAACATAGTCCGCTTGCCTATGTATGATGAGAAGCCGACAGAGAATAAACAGGCATGCTTTGGTGCTATCACCAAATTCTACGAGAATGAAGTCACTGGGGACCTTATGATTGAATGCGGAATTTTCAAAAACGTGTCATTGAGTTTCGAATCACCGTATCCTTCTTCAGACATTGGAAACTTTCGCATCAATGGAGGACATGATGCATTGCACCGGAAGCACTTTCAGTTTTCTGAGATAATAGCCACAGTTTTCCCTTTTCATTTAAAATTTCAAGTTCGAAATCGTCAATCTATGGATACATCTGATGCACATCAGGAATGGATTTTTCAAGAAATTCATTTATAATGTGGTTGTAATGAAATGTGTTTACATTACTTATTGTACAAGGTATATTATTTTTATATGTATGGTTGTTATCTTGCATAAGTATGGCTTGAATGTGTATATAATTGTGTATATAAACCTGAGTGTGTATAAATGTATAGAAATGTAAATGTATGTTGAATGGTTTTTCAATGTTGTACTTTGTGTTATCCTGAATATGTATATGCGCAAGATTTCTTGCTTCGCGAGAAACATGTGCACGTCAATGCGCGAGAATTCCCGCTCACTGTAGCAAAAGTGCAACACCAACGATGAGCGAGAAGTTTCGCTCGTCCCTGTGAGCGATAATTCTCGCTCATTGTTGCAACCGATGCCTTGAAATAACAATCAACTTGATAAGTATGTTACAAACGGACTTTATGTACACATCACTAAAATTCCGACGCAATGATATGGCACAGTATGAGACCATAGATCCGGGTATCCTCTTTGAAACCAAGGTTATCCGCTCTACAATCTCACACATACCACAGTACATTCAAATCGTACAATCTCACACATACCACAGTACATTCAAATCGTACAAAGAACGTCACACATCACTAAAAATCAGATGCAATCATATGGCACAGTATGAGACCATAGATCAGAATATTCTCTTTGAAACCGAGTTTATCCCCTCTACAATCTCACACATACCACAGTACATTCAACTCGTACAAATAACGTCACACATCACTAAAAATCAGATGCAATCATATGGCACAGTATGAGACCATAGATCAGAATATCCTCTTTGACAACGAGGTTATCCCCTCTACAATCTCACACATACCACAATACATGTAAAATAAATGAACAGTCAATAAGAATGAAATTTCATATTTTCAAATTCCAAATTTGTCGAATACATGGCATTGTAAGAGTTTGATGGACATGGATACCCTCATACAAACATAGGGTAAATCCAGGTAACATCAAACTCGCACATGCCACAGCAATCACAACTTAATATTCCAAATCCGTCGCCTTCATGGCAATGCAGTAGGTGGACGTGCTGGTGGGCATCCTCTTTAAAACCAAGGACATACCCCCCCGTCAACCTTCCACATGCCACAATACAGTCCAGAACACAGTTCAAGTCTAAGTGAGAAAAATCACCAGAGTCAAGAATCGAATGAGAAGAATACACCCGACTCCTGACCCCAGGATCTTCCATGCTGGCCGATCTCCAGTTGAAAACTGTGATTTTTACTGAAAATGTGCAACCTTTTTATTTGAAGGAAGCCCAGCTCTGAGTATCGAATGAGAAGAATACACCCGACTCCTGACCCCAGGCTCTTCCATGCTGGCCGATCTCCAGTTGAAAACTGTGATTTTTACTGAAAATGTGCAACCTTTTTATTTGAAGGAAGCCCAGCTCTGAGTGAACCCTTTTCGAGATATACGGTTACTCAAGGGCGCGGGGGGATTTGTGCAGAATTTTGTGACGGCCTCTGTGAAAATTAAAAGTCAAAGAAACGAGCCGACTCGTAATTTAATCTCCGCATCCTAGCATGCGCCCCCCAAGCCAAGAGAAGAATAGAATGACACCAGAATGGGGGTTAAACAATTGATGCATCGGCGCCTTTTTCTGCAAGCCAAAAAAACCTCCCCTTCTTTTTCCTTTTTGGTCCCTAGACTGGCAGGGTCATGTTACCCCACCAGGCTGAAAAACATACGACCAACAGGTGGTAATATACAGTATATGCATATCAATGAGCGAGAAGTTTCGCTCACCGATGCAAAAGTGGCGGAATTTTTACCGGATGCTGATCAAAGGGCGTCCTTCACGCGGATTAGACCTACTTAAAACCTTTTCTTTATCCTTCCTCTTTATAACATTCTCACAGGAAAGTTAGAAAACTACAAATAAAAGGGATGCATTTGCTTGCTACATATCATTCAACTTTTGACTCTGCGAGCATTAGGACATCCTCTTGGTTTGGTATCAAGCTGCTTGGAGATAAACTTGCGTACGTTATTGGAATTTTTGGTTCATCTTAGTGTTGTGAAATAAATTTGTATTTAATAATTTGATTTTATTTTACACGTATAGGACAACTGAAGAAGATGTACTGGACTGAGTACAAAGACGCGTGGGAGCACATGCAGACCCACTGCGGACAAAACGTCAAGTTTTCGCATGTGGTCAACTCAGGTCAAAATCTTCCGGATGAAGAATGGCAGATGTTTTGTTTTGTATGTGAAAATCCGGAGTGTAATTATAAACTTACATTGCTCAGGAAAGGGGGTGATGGTGCGGCGGATGATGATGATGATGATGATGAAGACGATGAAGATATTGATGATGATTCTGACGATGGTGATGACGATTTTGATGATGAAGAAATTGTTATTGCACAAGCAGGGTGAGGGTGATGATTACGAAATAAAATGTATATATTAAAATGAAGTTGTACTCTATATTTAAGAATAACACAAAGCACACAGCAAAAAACAAAAAAACCCCCAAAAAAAAAACATTAACAAAAACCCAAAGAAAATAAAATTAAAAACGCCCCAAAATACAACTACCAAAAATATTAACAAACAATTGGCAGCAATGCTGTATATATTTGAGTACAATTGTACAGTATATCAACCCACCGGGATGAGCGAGAAGTTTCGCTCACCGATGCATAAGAGCAACATTGCAACAGCTACGATGAGCGAAACTTTTCGCGCATCCCGGTGAGCGAAAAGTTTCGCTCATCGTTGAAAGGGCGCTAAATGAGCAAAGGGAACTCATGGTCTGCTATGAAAAGCAGGGATTCTCGCTCTTCATAGAAAAGGGACATTGTAAAAGCAAACCAAATGATTCAGTTCTTTTTACAGCAGCAAAAAAACTTTTATTTACAACCTACGAAATCGCAATGAAACAAATTCACCCGTACAAAAATGATTAATACCGAATAACGAAATTCGTACAAAAATGCTTCCGCGCCGAAGTATATAAAAAAAATGGACCATAATCAGCTGCGAAACATCTCAGAAATCGAAAATTACAAAAAATCAACATTCAAAAGATCAATACTTCGCACAATCAAAAACATATTTGCCTCCGCCGAATTACACAAAACGAAAAGTACCGAAATTACCGAATTATTCTTTAGGAACCACACGATTATTTGTTTTACGTATGTTAATTATGAAAATGTTTTATGCTAAGGACCTGTTTTTTTTATAAGGAAGGCTTTGGACGCAGAGTTGTAGGTGAAGTCACTAAAGCGCCCCACATGTGTGTGAATATATATATCTTTCACATTCTATTTCGAAATCATCAAAACAAGGAAGCCAACGTCTAGCAGGGATTTGGACTCTCGAAAAAGTACAACCATCCTCATTCAGCAAATCAAAATTCGCCAAGATTCCTGTTAGACGTCTCACTTCCGCGTTGAATGCCCTCTGATCTTTTTCATGCCTGATTTGCTCCTCGAATTTGCCAACTTCGGCCATGAAAGTCTTATAATTCGCCTCGAGCAGGTTGATGTAGATGACATTCGACTCCGGATTTAATGCTGAAATTGTTAAGAAAATGTCCTGCATTAAACAGTACTTCATAAAAGTCAGTAAACCACTTACCGCTGTGCATTTGATGGTAGTACATGTAGTCCTCGTCTGATAAGAACATGTCCGGGATTGTCGGCAGCCTGTTGCTTCTTCCCAGGAGTGTGTTGCGCCGACTTTGCTTCTTAACTTGGAATGCTTCATATTGAAGTGGAACACACCTAAGCCGGAATACCTTTGATGTTATGTGTGTGCGATCCATTCCCATATCTGTAAATCATACATAATAAATGTATTAGTTATGAGTAATTACTAATACAAGTATTGAAGTTAACGAGAAATTTAAACTCACCAATGATCATGTCCTCAAGATCTGCATCCGTAGGGATGTACGTTTTATGCCAGTACATGACGCCAAAGTTGAATCCCCCGTACCGCGTGGACACACACCTCTTGGTCAATTTAACAGTTTCGGAATTGATGGTTGTTGATACACCTTCCCTGTGAAACTTGCTTTTACCACGTAGATCCTTTCCTTTTGACAAAATTTCTTCTAGGTCATGTCCACTCAATGTAGCAATTGAACGGCAGCACAACTGTTCACACTTATTTGGCGGCGCTCCTTCCAAATCCAGCTCAGTTTGGGTTGATGCTGTCATTTTCGGATGTTCCATGGCATTTTCTTCCTTGTTCCCATCATTAACTGGATGCTGAACCTGTGACAATAAGAAATTGTACAAATTGAAGTTTTTGAGAATATAAACATGATATGAACTTCTTGATGAGCAACTAGAAAAATGAACCTCTTAAGAATTTGCTTGACCCGAGGAGCGAGGATTATCGCTCAGCGATGCTAAGCCTAAAAGTTTTTCAATCCTAACTATATAATTATGCCTTCAGCATAGTTCCTCATGTCCATACTGTTCACTGTCACATAAGAATTTGCTTGACCCGAGGAGCGAGGATTATCGCTCAGCGATGCTAAGCCTAAAAGTTTTTAAATCCTAACTATATAATTATGCCTTCAGCATAGTTCCTCATGTCCATACTGTTCACT